TCAGTTGTGATTCTTGTTTTTCTTTCCTAGTTTACTTGTAAGATTCAAGGAGGGGCTGCAGCTCGCGCCTCTCGCTGGGATGATGTATGAACTCACTCTAAATTTGCTTCTGAATCAATAAATTTATTATTATTCATAAAAAAAAAAAGCAGTCATCACAAGGGGGGTAGAACATGAACGACCAGTCTGGGCAAGCTTCAGCGATTTGGCCCAAATTGTCTCCCAGCCCAAACTGCGAAGCCTCACTACTGATTGGGCTCTATATGGCTCCTATGAGAGTTGGAAGTGAACTGGATGTGGAACCGACCTCATAGGTCGAACCCTTCGTGGTTCCCGTGAGAGTAGGCGACCCGCGAACAACAGAGTCACCCCCTCTAGGTGAGCCTCCCATGACTCCGGTAGGAGTAGGCGACCAGCAATTCCAGGAGCAGGTGCAGTACATGTACGCCATGATCTCGCGAGCACCTACCCGAGGAAGCAAATCCCAAGTGATGACATAGAAGCAACCACCTTTAAAGCTACAACAGAATGACTATCCACCTCAACAACCTGGTTAAACCAAACTCTAAGGGAAAGCCATATTGCTTTTAGCTAAGGCTCCCTCAAGCCAACCTCGAAGCACATTGACAACAGAAAGACTGACCTCAGAAGGACAGCCCACCCGTTGATCTAGCTCGGCAGCACGCCTAAATCGATCTCAAAGGACGTCAGCATCTCACCACAAAAAAGAGAAGGAAAGAGAAATGGAGGAAAAGAAGACTGTATCACTTTCAGCACCGTGGCAGAAACGCAAGCTTGGCCGATTTCTTCACAGTCGACCTCCACCTCGGTTTTAGGCTCCGCATCAACCTTATTAGCAATTCCTTCGAGAGTTGGATTGAGGAAGATTGCGTCGAAGTCTACCTGAATGGAGCAACTTGACGAGGCAATCACACAGTTAGAACTCCCTCTTGAGGACGACATGATGAGCTTCGCTCTTGAGGTACTTAGTCGGATCGCAGAACCCCTTGATGGTTACATCCCTAATAAGGTATATCTCCTCAGGGTACCTGCTCCACCTCTCCTTGAGCGGATGAATTCACTCTCGTGCCTCGATAATCAAGACGACGAGGTCCTGCGTAAGGCTGCATTCAAACACTTGGACTCTTCCAACCTGAGGAGCAAATTGGACTGACGCCAACAACTACGAGCTCATCAGACAGTCATTCCGGGCCAAAGGAATAATCTACTCCCTTCGTCGAGCTGCCCTCAGCTCGGGAGTGGGGGGCAATTGATGAGGGCAGATTTGGCCCTCCAATGACATCATGACACATGGCATCTTAGAACAGTATGACACACAGACACCACCTGAGCAATGATTTGGAGTCCCAGATCGCGGTTCGTCTTTGCCCCGACCTGGCTGACCTAATTAAAGATATGTACAGGGGTGCAAAAACTAGTGTTAGAACACCTGTGGGAGAGACACCAGATTTTATAGTTATAATGGGTCTTCACCAAGGTTCAACACTTAGTCCTTATTTATTTGCATTAGTCATAGATGAATTAACTATACATATGAAAAAGGAGGTCCCATGGTATCTGATGTTTGCTGAAGGCATGGTACCATTAGTATTATTTTCTTTTGGAAAAGTTAAAAGTATTGTATTGATATCAACTTTATAACCACCTAAATTAGTTTTATAGACAACTAAATGAGTATTGCATTGATGAATAGTATTAATTGATGAAACTAGAGAAAGATTAAATTTAAAATTAGGTCTAGAGACAACTGTATGAGAAACAAGAGGTTCTAAAATAAGTAGGGCTAAAAATAAAAATAATAATAATAATAAGTGGGGTACACTTAGGATTGGAGACCAAGAGATAACTAAATGTGACCTCTTCTATTACCTTGGTTCAATAATTCATAACAAATGAGAGATTGAGGAGGATGTCACTCACAGACTTTGAACAAGATGTGCAAAATAGAATGCATCTAGAGTTCTATGTGATAGGCGAATACCACTTCAACTAAAAGGAAGAATCTACAAAACAATCATAAAGCCATCTATTTGTATGGAGCAGAGCAAGGACCAAAGTTTCGTCACATATTTGAGTTTCAGGCAATTTCAGGGGGTGGTCAAGCCTAAGATTGACCCCTTTGTGGACTTCAGGAAAAAAAAAGAAAAAGAAAAAGAAAAAAAGGCATGTGTGCCTTAGAAATACCTCATACACAAGGTTCATGCATATCAGGTGTATCGATATTTAAAACCTTGGAGCAGATTGTCGGGTAGTTAAGAAACTACATGTCAAAAAAAATGAGTTTGGCAGAAATGCAAATGCTTAGATGGATGGGTAGTAAAACTAGAAAGAACAAGGTTAGAAAGGAAGTGATACAAAGGAACCTAGGAGTAGCTCCAAAAGACCGTCCATGACACTTGTTAGAAAGATATCTGTCAAAAGTTGAAGGGCTAGAAGAGCTAGAGGCAGACTAAAATGGACTTGGTGGAAGTAATAAAGAAATGGTTTAAGTGCCCATAATTTAGTGATGGATATGGCGCTGAACAGAACAGAATGGAAAAACAGGACTCTATGTAGCCAATCCCATATAGTTGGGACAAGGCTTAGATGATGATGATGATGATGCAGTTTGGGTTGGGTTAGGGTGATGTGGTCTGTGGTGGGTCATCACCCATCTAGGCTCCATGCAGATGGGTCATAAATGGTTTAAATGGGTGGGCTGTAGACTTGTAGCTCAACCCATACCCACCCAAATGTCACCTCTGTTAGGTGGACCAGTCTCATGGTCCACTTTGCAGTTTGCACCAGTCATCTTGTCCCCTCTACAATCCTGGCCTTGATTGGTGAAGTCATGCCTCCAAATGCTGTTATTTTGAAAGGATTTACAAAATTTTCAAATAAAACTTTAAACAAGTTGAAACTTATCTGAAAAAATATCCACCCAAGGACCAGATTGTAATTTTAATAGATCATGAATAATGGTAAGCCCTAGTTGCCAAGTTTGCATTCGAACACTCCTGATGTTTGTATGGATCCTGTGTGTGATTCTGATAACAATATAATTTTCACATAACAAATGCACTAATTCAATCTTACAACATGAAGGTGTCAGCTAGCATGCTGTTAAAGTCTCCAGCTGGTTGTAGCGGAGAGTTGGGATTGACTCCCGCCTTCACCCCAGTTRGGGGGCGGGGGGGTCTAGGGGTTTGGGGGCAGGCTACCCCTGTTGTGCAGCCCATTAATTTTCTTACAACGTATTAATTTTCTACCTTAGCCTACTTTATCATATAAGTTCTTCAAAGATCATAAACACATAGGAGTGATTGATGTAAAATTGGTATTATTTTCATCTTTTGTAATAAAATCAAGAGAGATGAGAGAAGTAACTGGGACAAAGTTGTACCCTCAAAGACTTATTCCCTTCAATCCCTTTAGCTAGAGCAGCGACCCCAAGAGCGCCACCATAGTTGCCACTACAAAAACAAAATGGCAAATGGCACATAAATCCTAAAGAAACAAAGTTAAAGAGCAACCAAGGATATTTATTGTAAAAATCTGTTGGCATCAAAGATATGATGCAAGTATTGAATTACAGATATCAACTCCTTAATGGTATAAAACAAAGTTACACTAACAGGATACATATATAAAGAATAGGCATTACTCACTTAAGATGTATTGACCGAATTGTATTATTCTCTAAAAGTGCTCCAGCAAGACTCATAAATCCCTACCACCAGTTTGCAAAAGCAGAAAAGGTACTGCTCAATTGACACCAATTACAGCTCAAACTAAATTTTGGTGGCCAAAAAATAAAATAGAAAAAAAAAGAGAATCACATACAGAATAATTTATCATATTGTTGTTAAGTTCAAGAACATGTAGGCTTGAATTTCTTTTTAACATCTCTGCAAGAGCCTTGGCTCCCTGCACCACAAAAACAAACAAGTAAATAAGGGAGTGCACATACAATGTTATATCACCCTAAAAGAAGCCGTGTATCAATACAGAAGAATGCTTCAGAAGATCTGCTAACCTCATCTCCTAAACCAATACTGTTCAGCTGGAGCTTTTCAATACTTCCATTCCCCGCCAAGATATCACTCAGACACTGTAAACAGGAAGACATTCTTTATTGATAATACAAAGCTATGCTACTCAATATGAACCAATGGCACTGGTATACAATATGCAAGGCCAAAAAAAAGTCCTTATCCAATCAATGATGGCCCCTGCTGTCTGGGGTCTTGGGAGGGGTAGAGTGGATGTAGACCTAATTGGAGTTTTAGTATACGATATGCAAGCATATCTCAAACACAAAACCCAAAAAGAAAAATAGAAGGTTCTATGCAATAACATCACCAACCAACCCCCCCACACCCCCCCCAAAGTAAAAATAAAACAAAACAAAAATGAAAAGTCCTTCCAAAGGCCAGCCTGTAGAGAATTCTCAGCAAGCATCTACACATCCAAAATGGCTTTAGGATAATTATCTGAACAAACTCTTCTTTTTTTTTTTCCTTTTCTTCTTGATAGATGAGTAACTGATGAAACTATGGACGGGTATTACAAGATTCTTTGTAGGAAAAGGGATGAATAATGTTGGGGTGGGCAAATCTCTTCTTGTATTTATCTTATGCATCATTTTTTATTAAATTTCCAATTTTTCACATTACCTATACTTATTTATATTTTTTATTTATAATTATGAATAATTACTATATACCATATAGTATATATAATAATATAAGTATAAATTTCTATATATTAATATCTTATTTAAGTGATTACTTCTATACAGTTCATTACCATATTCTATAGAACTGATTATTATAATTACTTAATTAGTCACTGTTGACAATGATATTTTTGGTTGATAACCTTATATCTGCTCCTTGAAAAAAAAAAAGAGGATGTGCTTTCTATTTCTAACTTCAAATTTTGTTGATTTTCATTTGGATAACATAAATATAATTTAAACGCAATAACCACACCAAGTGCTATTTTTACCCAAGGCTTTGCCACTTCAGGTCTCTTAACTGAAATGCATCTATCTACAATATTAGTGCCTACTCTTCAATTCCAATGGTTAGTAATGCACATGAGTATGTTGATATTGACTTATGCAGCTCTTTTATGTAGATCATCATTACCATTATCGATAGCTCTTCTAGTTATTACATTTGGAAAAAAAAAATAGAGATTTTTAGTAAAAGTGATCATTTATTAATTGGGTCACTTTACTTTTGTGAGATCCAATATGTGAATGAAAAAACAATGCTTTAGTGAAACACTTCTTTTCCTTCTTTTACTTATAAAAATTATCACAGGCAACAATTGGGTCACTGATTCATATAATTAGTCTAGAGTTTATCTTTTTAACCATGGGCATTCTTTCAGGAGTAGCATCATAGCATGGGCTAATGAGGCATGGGAATCATATCGGTATTGGGACCTAAAGGAAACTTGGCTATTTTTTAATTGGTGCATATAACAGAACTTTGTCTAAGTTTTGGAAACCATTTCAATCAGTACTTGATTCAAATGGTTCTCAAAATTGTGAACCATATCCAATTAAAATTCCTACTCCATTCTTTTACTTAACAGAATGAACACTACAGAATTTTAAAAGTTACAGGATTTTTTTATGTCATTTTCATGAAAACTATATAGAAAAAGTAGTTAGATAGAGATCAGACACTACAGAACCTTAGAAGATAGTTAGCATAGCCATACCTACTTTTACTGGTTACAATAGCATAATGTTATGGCAGAAATGTGGCTATAAACTTAACCTTACCTTAGCTCCTTCATCTCCAATAAGGTTTCCCGAAAGATTGAGAGTCTTCAAGACAATATTTGACTGAAGAACACCATCAAATGCTTTCACTCCAGCTTCAGTTATTCCATTAGCAGAGAAATCAACTTCCTCTACAGCCTAAAACACAATGGTAAGATGAATCAATAAACATCCTTGACTACATGCATATTTTGCACTTAGAAGAAGAAGTACCATCCTAAAAATAGATATCCCATAATGAACATTTTTTTAAGTTATGGAAGCTTAAAGATTACATAAGCTCTAACCTGATTGTAGCCTAAGCTCTCAGCAAGAAAGAAAAGTCCCTCATCCCCAAAGTTGCAACCTATAAACAGCTTGGTAAGATCAAATCACATTTTTTCACAAATACAAGGTGCATTTTAATATTCATTGGTGAATAGTAAAAGGACAAATTATCAGGAAGCCTGGTATGCCTGGCCCAATCTCTCAGGAAGGAGTTTGGCAGCTTATCATATGAGCAGTTCTACTCCCAGTAGAGCCAAATCATCAGCAGTAATAGAGTTCTTTGGTATATGTTGTGAATGGCCTGTACTGCCAGTACTTTCTTCTTGAAAGGGCTATATTTGTAATTTTGTGGTCTCCTCTTGATTTATAATGCAAATAAATTTACGTACCTTCAAAAAAAAATTCTGCACCCACATTGAGATTTCTAGGAATGACAATTTCTGGATAGTTTTTGCTGATTTCATCCTAGTCTGATCATACAATTAAAGTATGCAAGCACATGCACAAGCACATAGATGTTCATGTGAGCATGGACAGAAGCACACGTTTTCCAACATAATAAGAATAAAACAAAAAAGAATTTTTCTTTGGGAAAGCAAAGTACAACTAGTTGGCTACCCAGTCAGAAAGCTAGAAACTCCTGAGGTCAAAGACTGACCAGGCCAAATACCTTGGCAGCCATAGCTTGAGAAGGTAAATTAATTTCAATCAGATGTGAGAGCAAAAACTTGTATAAGTATAGACCATGTTCAACTAGATGTAATACGAATTGGACAAAAGGATTTCTAAGAAAATATAATGTGATAAGAGTGTGCTGCATCAAAATAAAAGACAAGAGGGACCAGTCAAAAAATACCAATAATAAAAAAAAAAAGACATGGAGTGTTCCTTCCTGAATTCCTCTCAAGTGGATAGCCATTAGAAAGAATGATGTCAAATTGTATATAACATAAAGCTTGACTGTTAGTCAATATTATATCAAACATGAGACTATAATCCCTTTTTTGATCCCAATATGCTGTTTTGTAATTAGTTTGTCATGCTTACAGCCTTTTCTCAATTGACATCACTTACCAAAAAAAAAAAAAGTACAGTCCCTTGTAGTACAAGGGTGACAATCTTTATTAATACATACCTTACCAGTTTTTCGAAAATAAAATTGTATTACACATAAGGGATGCAATGCAACTATAGCTAGATAATCAATGATAATTTCAATTAGCATGTATGCATGAGCAGCATCCCTCACAATTTCACTTTTTTATCAATCTGAATAGTATACCTGACATGTCAACACTTCTGTATGTCCTAAGTTCTTTGGCAAATTCATTCAATTTCTGTCTGGATTCTCTTTCGATCTTGTAACTAGCATCTGGTGACAAATTTGTGCCAGCAGCAAATGACCATCCTATTCTTGGTGAGGAAGATATGTTCTCCCCTAAAGGTTTTCCTGGTTTTGGCAAGAGCAACTTTTCCACAAGCTTCCATAAAACTGTCAGTAAGAAACAAAAATTATGATAACCATCAACACTTCCTTTAGATATCATGGCAAGTTATAGCTGAAACCACAGAATTGCAACAAAAACCTTAATAACTTCGTCATATGATTTCAACCCAAATCAAGAAGCCATTGCTAAATCAGTGCTTCAAGCACTGACAAAAGTGGGGGAAGAAAAAAGATTGAGTTAATAAATGAAGCTATAGTCTTAAAAGTGAGATATTCATTAAAGATCAAGCAAAATGAGAGGTAGGGAAAATATATGCTTCTTTTATTTTCAAAATCCAGACAACTGTCTATGTGTATAGGTGGTTAATTCAATGGCATGATATATCAACAGTCAAAGAAAGGGTGGGAATCTCAACAGCATCAAGTGGTGCTGCAAGTTTGATCCCAAACAATATGCAGTATTATTATAAGGATGCCAAGATCCAGATTCCAGCATTCTTCTACTGTCTCAGTCTCAGACAAGATTTATGGGCATTTCATTAAGGTTGTATACTTGTATTTGGATTGAAGCAGAAACTAAAAGGCAATGGAATTTCCTAGTTTTCCATTATTTTCAGGTAGCTATTTTTTATTTAAAAAATAGGGCTGAGTGGAACCCCACAAGTAGTGCCTTTTATTGCTGTCTTTTCCTCCATTTAAGTGGAGATGCTTTTAGGAGGGGGCAGCAATGTTTTCCACTAATTCGGTGGGAGAATGGAATTGCTTTCACTTTCCATTCCCCTGAATAGTGAATACAAACACACTCAAAGCTTGGGCAGAAGGAATGGAAAGGTACAGGTTTTTTGTGCCTTCTTTCTTTCTTTTTCTTTTAGGATAAACGACATAATATACTATGCATCTAGAGAGGGATAGGTGATAGAATTTTATTGCAGGGGGAACATACAACCAATTATGTGAGTATTTAAGGTGGAATGCAATGCCATCATGTAAATAATCCGATCCAAAGCATGTTTTCATATCTGAAATACATGGAAATTTCAAAGGCAGTTAAACTTCTATTTTCAAACGCCCGCATTTTCCAGATAATTTCTGATGGCATCTTAAAATACAGTTTCTGGTGCACATATCCCAGTGATATTGGTGATGCTCTGAAGTCTAACATCTGAAAGTGCAATAGTTACATTAAGAGGTATATTGGTATTGGTGAACTTTTCTTTCCTCTGAACTCAGAGAATGTTGTTCTGAATTCTGAATTCTGAAAATTGTCAAATATCCATTTTGACCCCATATATTAGAGTTTTTGTTTGTCTTTTGGGGGGTATAATTGGAAAACAAAAAGTTGTATGATTGCACTTTAAGAGATAAGAAATAAGAGATAAGAGGAAATGAACAACCATTAACTAATTTACTAGGAGTAAAGTGCTCAGAGGACACCCAACCATAAGAACAAGCATTTCCCGCCAATAGGATACAAAAGATACAACTATATGCTTATGCATCATCTACAATAAGGTCCAATATGTTTCAAAAGCTTTTTCCAAATAAGGATCTTTAAACACCTTCAAACTTAGAAGGAATGAAGAGCCAATCCATCATAAAGGAACCAATATCACTACATGATATTCTCTCCCTTCAGCATGTCAGTCATTTGTACCAGGGATAGCATCCATCATCGCATAGAATCCAAAGATTTATTGAGGGTGAACAAGGATAAATAATTAAAGAAATATGGTATGAATGTTTTCTTAAAGGATAAAGATAAAAAAAAAAGAAAGAAAGAAAGAAAGAAAATGTGATCCCAAAGTACCATAATTTTTCACAACAGTTATTTGATTCAAATTTAACATTTCTTATGCAGAACATCAGTGTTCCTAAGGGTCCATTTAGCTCACAGTTGGAATCAGAATCGAAATTGGAATGGTCTACTCCAATAGTCTATTTGGTTCAGACAGGAATCGGAATGGGAATTAAAATCAGCTGGAATGGGATTTCATTCCCAAGGGAGGGGGAGGGAATGGCCATTCCCTCAAATGGGGGAATGCCATTCCACCAGGAATGGGAATGGGATTCCGATTCCGCCCAGCCAAACAGTTGGAATTGGAATGGCCCACTTGAATCCAATTCCAGACCCCTATTCCCGCGAACCAAACGGGCCCTAAAATTTGTACAGCGAACCAATGGAAGTTCCCAATTTTTATAAACTTTCAGAAGCACCAACCTTGTTCAATTTGTACAGCGCATCTAAAATTACTAAGGGATAGTCAATGCCTTGCTCATGTATTCTACAAAGTTAGAAATACTTGGATACAACACAAGGCAAGTTTGGCCTGTTAACTATTTGGCAATAGAAGTACTTCGAATTTATTTTTCCTTTTTCCCCTTTTGAGAGAGCACTTGTAATTAGGAAATACTACTATTACATATTATCCTAACGTTATTCTGAGTAATTATCTATTGGAGTAATGTCATAAACACCCAGGACCAGCAGCGCGAATCAATTATGACTGGAATGTATAATCTATCGTCCCACTTCAATATGAAATCCGCAATTTAAATAGAAACAAGGACAAAACATAAAAAAAAAAAACATGGAACATGACAATGAATTACGAGCAAAATGGATGAATTTATGACCGAAATAATACCAAATGTAACAGCAACAAACACGCCGGCAGGTGCAACAGCCGCGACGAGCTCCTTAGCGGGAACACGGGGCAAAGGCCTTACGGCTTGGGATTGCTTATACACCCTCCGACCTCCAGTAGCCCGGGTTGAAGCTCCATCACTTCGAGAAACAGCCCTCGGAGTCAAGCTTCGCCTCCTTACAACCGGCAGTGTGGTAGGAAATAACACTAGATGCGCATGATAGCCCAAGGATGTGGTGCCTAACAGTCCATTCTGCAGTTGGTGTCTGCGAGAGTAGGGGTGGAACGCAACCTGAGGAACATGAAGATGGAACGAGGTGAAGAAGACTTGGATTACAGTTGATGTGTGGGAAGGGGTAATGAAAGAGGGGGGCGCCTACCTTAGGATGAGCGGAAGAGAAATAGATGGTTGATGCGGAACCCATGAAGTGGCGGGAATGGATGTTAGGAATGCATTCGCGAGAGAACTTGGGTTCTTTAACCTTGCCCCTATCGAGCGAGTTCTCTGCCTCTGCGTGTTTATTCGTGTTGCAGAGAGTTTGTGTTGAGTAGAGCGGGGGATAAAGCGGTATCCACCCTCTCCAGTCTCCAGTCCCTCTACTCTCTCTAGTCTAGAACAACAACTAGAGCATACCTTTCTCCGTCGATTATGTTTTATTTCCCCCTTTTTCTTCTGTAAGAAAAATGAAGATATATTTAAAACTTCAAAGTATTTACTATTTATTAGTCCTGATTTTTTTCCCTTTTTGAAGTATCTGTGTATTTATCTTGTTTTCAGCGGATACAAAACTAAATACATAACTCTTTTCCATAAATAAAAAGGAAAACAAAAAATAGATAAGCCTCAGTAAAACTACCAAAATGGCGTATTGTATGTGTATCAAAAGTTACCTTCACATGTCAATTGGTTGGGTCTGGTCGGGATAGGGTGGACCGATCCGAACCGACTATTAATTATAAAATAGACTTAGAAGTTAGAACCGAATTAATTATTGATGGGAATAATCAGGTCTGACTCGATTCGACCTAATTATACTTTATGCCTATAATTACTTGTGATAGAAACAACTTGGAACTTCGTTTTTAATGATATAAGCTTTATAAAAATGATAGTAAATAGTAAATTATTTATATATAGGTAAACAAGTGTTTTTAACCAAATGATCTTATAATACAGTTGAAACCACCGTGTAACTCTCTTTGTGTTTCGAGAGAGGCTTCCTTTCGAGTTTTCATGAGGCTTTTGTTCGTTGTTTCACTTTTCGCCTTAGAGTTTTCTTTAGGGGTTATTCTCTTCGAGGAGTCCCTTTTCTCTTTGTTCTTTTGTTCTCTCTATTCTCCATTTCTCCCCTCCTCCTTGCTTTTACTCCTCGTTCTTACTCCCATATGTTCTTTTGTTCTCTCTCTTCTCCATTTCTCCCATCCTCCATGCTTTAATTTCTTTTGTCGCCTAAGAGTTTTTGTGCTTTCTTTTCTTTTTGCGGGCGTTTACATGGGGTTAGTTCTCTTGGATCCTTTATTGGGCGATTGACACCGGTGGAAGTTGCTTCACGTTTTGCCATCTACGATTGAGTCAGCTTGCGGTTCTCCGATAGATGCAGTTCATTGCCATTTCAGTTCGTAGTTCTCCGACGTTATGGACAAGGTTCAAAATATCGATACACCCAATATGCCGATAGGGGCGTATCGGGCGAATCGATACACATTTTGGAGACTTTTTTATTTTTATTTTTTGCAATCGGTTCAGGGGGGCGGTTTAGGTCTCCTCTACCCCCTGAACCGGTCTGACCTTCGATACACCCACTGTAGGGGCATATTAGAGGGGTCCCGGAACGAAACGTATCGATCAATACGTGTTGATACTTTGAACCTTGGTTATGGATGGCAGTTATAGTTTATGGCCATGCCGTCTTTTGCGGATTGGCGACCTCTCCTGTCCGTTACAGTCTCTTTTAGAAACCTCTCCTGTCAGTTTTGCTCACTGTTTGTGGCGGATTGGAAACGTGCTTGTCTACTTCCGTTGGTAATTTTAATTCACCTTTGTTTGGTTGCTTAAGTTCTTTCTGTTCTCCTTCATCCATTTCTATATTTTGTTCTTCTTGAGAAATTGTATATGGATTTTTTATTGGCCTTGTTAGTAATTCTTTGTATCAATTTCTTGAATGAATGAAATATACTTTAAGCCTTCAAAAAAAAAAACAAATGATCTTATATGCTATTTATGAAATTTATTCTTTTGCACATAATATATATATAAGAGAAAACGAGGAGAGCTTTACATATTATTAACTATATAATCAATTCAGATCTTAATTGATTCATAATTGCAATAACCGGTCCCAATCCAATTCAGATCTTGGCTCATTTCAACTAAAACATTCATATATTCGAGTTTGAATTTGGCTCAAAAGTTAAAGATTAATATATTTTTATGTTTTACAAATATATACAATATATTTTTATAATGTATAAATATGTGTGTATTATATATAGCATAAAAATAACATATTAATATAAAATATATTTTTATATTCTATAATAATCAAGCCTAATTAAACTCAATCCTGAATTGTTCCATTAAAGCTTGCTTCAGTTGCATCCCTAACCAACATGAGAGGAAGGGAGAGGAAAAGAGAGACAAAGAAAGCACTTGCCAATAGCAAGTGGTGCACAAATTCATCTACATTTCATTCCCCTTTCTTCTCTTTTTCTTCTAACAAAAGATTATCAAATGGGTATGTAGACCTAATTAACAATATGCATGAGAGTGCAAAAAACAAGTTAGAGCATTCGTGGAAAATAAATCAAAATTTATTGTTGCAATGGGTATTTGCCAAGGTTTAGCACTTGGCCCTAATTTATTTGCATTAGTCATAAATGAATTAACCAAACATATTCAATAGGAGGTTCCATGGTGCCTAATGTTTGTTGGTGGCATAGTGTTAATGATTAAACTAGTGAAGTATTAAATGCAAAATCAGGCCTATGGATAACCGTATAAAAAACGAGAGGTTTTAAAATAAGTAGGACTGTTATAGAATATATATACAATATAAATTTAATAATGATAGGTGTGAAGATTAAAGTACACTTGGGATTATATTGAAGACCAATACATAACTCAATGAGACCTTTTTTGTAAGATTGGCTAATAATTCATAATAAAGGAGATATTGAGGAATATACCATCTATAAAATCAGAGCAAGATGGGCAAAATGGAGGTATGTATTCGGAATCTTATGTGATAGATGAATACCACTACAGCTAAAAGGAAAATTCGTTGTGCATTTAAGAAAATGTGCTAAAAAATGAGTGTGGCAGAAATGTAAATGCTTAAATAAATTATTGATAAAGCTAGAAAATATAAGGTTAAAATGGATTCATATGAAAGAACCTAAGGAGAGCTCCAATAAGTGATAAAATGAGAATAGTGTAGATTGAGATGGGGTTAAAAGCTACATCTATAAAAAAAAGAAAAAAAATGTTACAAAATGAATGGCTAAAAGAGGTAGAAATAGACCAAAAAGAATTTGAATGGAAGCAATAAGAAATGGTTTAAACACCTATAATTTAACTATGAATGTTGCATTTAACTGAATAATGAAATGGTGGAATAGAATTCATGTAGCTGATATCACATAATTGGGGAGATGATGATAGTGACTTTGATGAGATGTTAATCAAATGGCCAACCCCAAATAATTGGGATTAACTTCTGATATGGACTGAGTTATATTTTGGTGAGCTAGTTATCCAGGTTGACTGGTTCTAGACATTTTTCATTCCTTTTATTTCCTATGGAACTATCACGATTTGAAGCATGTGTTTCATGAAGACAATGTCCTACATCAGATCATGATGCTGTCGGAGGTAAACCAATTCACCTAACACTACTGCTTTAGCTCAGTTGTTTGCTGGCCCATGTTTATTTCGTTCTTTTCATTTTCTGTTCTTGGTAAACTATAAACAAGAAAACTGTACCATCTTATAAGGCATCATCAGAACAAACTTATGTATGCGTCTCTTTTCAAGGATTTATATATATGACGATACAACTAGGATCAGGATTCATTGATGCATCAATTTTTGTTAATTGTTACTAGTAGAATTTGTGAGATATGAATGTGCGAATGCAGCATGTATTGCAGCTCCAATTGGAAGGATATCCTCATCAATGGTATAATAAGGGTTATGTGCGGGGTAAATTGATCCAACCCTCTCATTCCTGATTCCTATCAAAAGGAAGGATCCGGGTATCTGTTCTAGGTAAAAGGCAAAATCTTCACTGCCCATGGAGCAAGGAGCTGTGTGCATGTTATTTTCTCCTACGATCTGGGTTGAAGCATGATGCATTAGATCATAAACTCTTTCATTGTTCACAGTTGGAGGAATCATAGGATGCTCCTCTACAGAGAATTCCATGTCCACCGAGCATCGGTGCACTGCTGCTTGCCCCTTAATAACCTGATACATGAAATAGAAAATAATTATTTTCATGTGCAGAACTTGCCTAAACTTCATCTAATTTCTGTTCTATAATTTAAGTCAATTTCAGCCTCATGCAGTCATGCATTGGGATGACCATAGGTTGGGCTGGGCTAGGCCCCGTCCAGGAGTCCAGGTTAGTCCATATTATATTAACTAAAGTTATGGTTTTTAAAAATTAAAAACCACTTCTCAAGCTCTCAATATTTAACAATTGTTCCATGTACATTAAGCACTTTCAATGAAAGAGATACCCAAAACGTGTGCATTCTGGGTGTAGTTTGAGTAATGGAAGATTTGTATTGCTCATGGTTGTACTTGATACCATTTCTCTTTCTACCTGACACGTTTTGGGTTGATTAATACAAATTTAAAAAAGATATATGTTTTTGTTTACTTGATAGGTTTTAGGTTCTTCACCAAAACAAGATATATTTTAGGTTGATCAATAAAAAACTGATGTTTCTATCTAAAACATCAAGACGATTCAACTATAAACATTAATGGTCAGTCCTGGATATGCATTTTTTAGTTGAAGTGATTTTTATATGTAACTAATAATCGCCTTAAAAAAATTTCATTAGAAACAGCAATAGTACTAAAAACAAACCATGTATATTTATCCAATGTTTTCAGAAGCTGAGTATGCCCCGCTGGTTTATTTTTTATACTGTGCATTGTCTTAACTTTTATAATTGGGGATTTTTTTTTTTTGGTATTTAACACAACATACCAGCTTTTTAACATAGGTGGTAATAGCTGGGACTGCCCAGCTAACATGCCAACCAAGCCACCACTTAATTGGCCTATAATTAATGATTAAATCCTTCAAAATACATAACGAGAGGAGTGAATACAAAGGGTAAGGTGCTCTCTTACTAGTGATAGTTGAGACTTAGGATCGAATCCCGCCTGCACTTGAATTGAGGGGATTATGGGTTTGGGGATGGACTACCCCAGATGTGTAGCCCCTTAGAGAAAAAAAAAAGAGTGCACACAAAGTAGATGAAGGATGTTAGCTAACTATTACCTCTTCTATTCTTTGCTTTAGAGCTTTGAGTTTCTTCCTTCTGAAAGCCCTAAAAGTACCACCAATTATGGCCTCATCTGGAATTATGTTATATTCAGTTCCGGCATTGAAATTGGATACAGAAACCACCTGCACTACCACACTGTTTATGTGAGTGAGAGAGTGCGTTTTTAATAAAAGAACCTTTATAACTCCTATTAATGATTAAATGATTAATTCATGAGTACTTGTAACAAACTAACAATGTCCTGATGATCATTATTACAACTCCAACTCTCACTCTCTTTTTTTAAACATCCAACTTTTACAATACTGACAATAATATGCATTTCTGCTTATATCATTTGGACGTAGAGGTGGAGTCGGAATTTTTTTTAAACCTCAAGTGGAATGGGGGAGGGGGGAATAAGTATGGATGGGCTCATAAGGGGGACCAATCATGGGAGTGAGAAGAATTTTATATGAAAAACTCCATTTCAAGTGGAGAATTCTGTACCATAGGGGGCTATGGCTCCTCTAGATCGCCCTGGCTCCGCCACTATGGACTGTGATGAGATGAGATTAGCATTGGGAGATTAGTTCTACTGTTGGTTTATGGACCAATATTAATAAAGGCTGAGTTTGGAAACAATGCAAATGGAGTGTAAATCTCGGTTCAGGGTAATTTTGCACTTCCATTCATTTTTGCCTGTATTTGGCAACATTATATTTATGCATTGGTAAATGACAGACCAATGCATATTTATATTGATAATAAGATGTAAAAGTACATCAATAAAAAAGAAGTAAAAAGCATATGCTTTATTGAAATTCATGTTTGCATCCATTACAGTTAAAAGGCTGTTTGGTAAGAACGTAAATTTGTCAGTGTAAAACTAACCCAATTTTACAATTTATATGAACCGCTTTACACTCTACATATTTGCATCATTTCCAAATGCAGTCAAAGGGGTATTCCATGCAACATAAATCGTTCTTGAATTTCTAGTTTCAAAAAGAAGTTACTCTGGTTTTTTCTTTTTATTTGATGTCATGCTTATTCATAAGGCATATTATATTAAGATAGAGATTCTAATCAAATGGATAGTAGCTTATATTTCTTATTATTTTTTATTTTTATTTTTGATCCACATCCATTTAGGCTGTGTTTGGTAAAGGAAAAAGTAGGGAAAGGAAGGGAAATGTAGGAAAACCTTTACAAGCCTTATATAGGTTTCCCTTCCTTTCCCTACTTTTTCCTTCAAACCAAACATAGCCTTAAAGTTGGGCTGGTATGGTCCATATAGGCTTTAAAACACCACATGAACAGTGCCTATAAGAGGTTTTTGGTATTTGTTCCACATACCAAACAGTAGCCTAAATTAACCTTATGGAAATGAAAACATATTTTTGTTTTAAAAGAACAGTCATCTTTTATTAGTTTTAGAAACAAATTTATTTTTCTAAATTAAATTGAAAATATTCTAAACATTGTTTTAGCAGATTTTGTTTTTTTGTTTTTGCTTTTTTGTATATAACATTGAAAAAAAAAGGTAACACAGAAACATTTATATTAGAGAAAATCCCCTGAATAAGGCGTTAGAATCTCCTACCCTCAAAGGACACCATAGCCTCACATTGGAAGGGTTCAGCTTTGATCAATGCAATGCCCTTTTGAACAGCCTTTATAGTCTTACATTGGGAAGATCTCCTTACTTATGTGCTTTATTTTATAAAGAAATATTCTCAATGTAAGATTGCAAAAGACTGTTGGAACAACATGAGCAGGGTCTTGCACTCACCCAAGCTGAACTCGCATTGGAAATATCTCCTGATAATAAGTGGTCCATAGCTGTGATGCTCCCGGTGTGCAGTTATGGTGTCCTGTGGGCAGGAGATCGGAACTGATAGTGGTCCACTAGCTGAAAGGATTAATTACCTATACCTCCCTTTGGGGTTTTAGTCAAATACTATACTACATGTCTCGTTTACCACTTTACCTAATATTTTATACATTCTTTGATTATGAATGAAACTGTTCAGGGACAGGCATCGAAGAAACAACTAAGGGACAAGACAGAATTAATGGAGATAAGTATATATTTTAAATTAACAAAATTATGCTCATTTTTTAGTATTAAATACCGTTTAACATTTCTATTTTTGTTTTATTTTATTTTTTGAACGGATTTGACTATGATATGAAAAAGATGTGATATTGAAAAAACAATTGACCAATAAACTAGAATCATAAACGTGATAACAAATAAGATGTTATTTACCAAAATTCATGAGTGAATTTTGATTGGTCAAAAATCTTTTCATACCATCTCTTTCCCACATAATAGATTTTCCCTTTTTGAACATATTTTTAAGTTTTCATTCACACCTTAATGCTAGCTATGGTTTCAAGAAGTATGAATATAGGTTTTCTTTATCTATATGATATACAAGAAGGTGCTGAAAAAAGGATAAAATAAACTTTTGAAATGAACACATTTTGGTCACTAGAGCTGAAGCAAATTAAAGGAGGGGAGGAACAAATAATTTTAACCCTAAACTACATGAGATGATCAAATCTGTTTCAATTATTAATCAAATGTAGATTGTAAAATCCCAATCCGATACAATTACATAAATATATCATATGAATCCTAAATAATCGGATTAAATATCGGATAAAGCTGCCCATTTTTTAGTATCATTGACAAACCCTAATGATAGAAGATATTTCGAATGCATGCCTGTAGTGTCTTGTGGATAGGAGATATGAGTTCTTTTCAAAGCCCAAAAGTATAAAGTCCCAATTTAGTTTGGGAGGGCTTTTGGAATACAATTTCTGGTGTCTCAAGCTGAACCCCACATGGAAACCTCTGAAGTTGTGTTTGGTGAAAATAGAGAAAATCAATATAGGCATTCCAAATGCCAAATTTGTGACTGTAACATGAACTTATCCTCCGAAACATAATTGCTCAAGCAAAACAGCTCAGTCAAAATAGCTCACCCCAGAAGGAGAGGTCGTCCCAAACGGGGCCTTAATTTTGGGTCTAGGGTCGGAAATGTCGGAAATGGGTAAGTTGGAGGGATTGGTTACCTGGGAATCTAAAGGGTCCGTCTCCCTTGAAACAATGTTCTGTAAGCTAATTATTGACGCTGAGGCTGCCAAAACAGGATCAACAGAGTGTTGCGGAATGGCTGCATGACCACCCTTCCCACTGATCTTTGCTTTGAAACCTCCGCAACCTGCGAGAAACTCTCCAGGCCTAGAAGCCACAACACCGGTATGATATTGAGACATAGTATGCATTGCAAAGATAGCCTCCACATTTTCTAGTGCTCCTTCTTCGATCATTTTTTGTGCTCCTTTCCCTCGTTCCTCTGCAGGTTGAAATATCAGGACAACTGTTCCCTGCATAACCATTTCCATTTGGGTATTGGGTGTAGCAAATAGACTTCATTCTTCAGATTGAAACAGATAATTGGGAAAAAAAACACTCAAAAGAACAGAATTCCAACTATTTGTATTGTGACAGAGTTTTGAGTTACTTTCAACCTTCAACGTGGTTCGGAGCTCTTGCAGTATCTTCGCAGCTCCAAGAAGCATGGTAACATGAGCATCATGCCCACAGGCATGCATTTTCCCCTCTACTTTGCTCTTGTGTTCCCACTCTACCATTTCCTACACACGTGTAATGTCAAATAATATTAGGAAAGACTGGTCAATTGCTATTTGCTGCACCATGGTAACAACTAACAAGCGTCAAACATTTATTATGAGGTTTGGTTTAGCTGAGATCCAGGTACAGGACATGTATGTCCAGAATGAGCGTTTTGAGCTTTTTCATGGAAGATGAGTTGGGGTTACATCCAGATCTCAGCCTCTCAGGTAGTTTTATTTTTATTATTTTGGATAAAAATAAGGTATATAATTATTTTGGGCTAGGCGCAGAAATTACAATCCTGATTATGTACGATTAATTGTTTTAGCATTTACTTTTATCCATTGTGTTGAATACTTGAATTCATTCCATTTGCTACAAATTCCCTCTTTAATTCTATCAACTTGAATTTTTAGAAACCCCCCCAAAAAAAGGTAAAATTCTACTTTAATATCCTGAACTTTGAGGGTTGTGTCAGTACATGAATTTTTAAATGTGTCATTATAGTTAATTGATGTTAATTATCTGATTACTTGATGACATGTGCAATTGATTTTTTTTAAAAATGTCAAAACTATCCTTCATAAAAGACATTGTTCATCATCTTTTTCCTTGAGACTGAACCAGAGCAACCAACCACTAGTAAAACTATCCCCATTTTGAAAGCTTCTGAAACATGTTTTGGCCTTCTCTTTCGAACCCTAACCGCCACCGTCTAAACCAAAGGCAATAGTCATTTTTGTATTTTTGGCTTTCTGGCTTCCTGCTTAAACAAAACAAAGGCGATAAAAAGAGATTGGTAGAAATAAGTCAATAACCATAACCAACGAGCTTTTTCCTATTCTCTTTTGTTTTTTATTCTTCCTTTTTATTTTGCGTGGCCGCTTCTCTACTACCTCCTTCTGGTTTTGTCAAGGTGGATGAATAACTTCTTCCACTTCTTCGTTCAATTGATTTTGAGGATTACTCTCTCTTCTCTTATCTTTCTCTCAACCATTGTTGTCTAAGGTTGATCAGTTCAGTTTTATTCGACCAGTGAAGTATTTCTTTTGGTCTTTGTAATGTAATCATTCATTTCTGCTCTGCTTTTTTTGGGGGGTAGAAGTTTCTGCTCTGCGCTATTTCTACTAAAGAACCTCCTTTTTATAGTTCATTAATTAGTTTTTTGTGCCTCTTTTTTTTTTTGTTTTCATCCGTTTGTGCTGTGAATTGAAGAACTTGTTTTAGTGTTTGAGAAAAGCAGGTTTAGGTTGCAATCGGAGGCAGATGTTACTCTTTCAGAACCAGGAAACAACCGGCCCGTTGAGTTCAGCAGTGGTCTCCAACATATTTTCATCAGCTCTATAACAAACACGCTTAAATTCAATTGAAACTAGTATGTAGATCAAGAAATATTTTGAAACTTTAGGTGGATTTTGGGACTTAGCCTGTTACTGTTATGTTGCTGAAAGAGATGTCAGAAAGCATAAATCGGGAGAAAAAATAGATGGAGCATCGCCTATTATAAAAGAAACTAAAACAAAGTCCTATGAATTTCATGTTTAAACCTCTTTCATACAATGGACAATAAAAAGAGCTATGGAATATAAATGCTCCTCCTTCCTAGCCTTGATAAAGGACGTTAGGACGGGGCTTGCTCTTGTCTGTTGAGAGGCGATCGTTCTTGTTGGGTGCAGTAAGTGATAATTCTGAGGGACCTTACGAGATTCTCTCATCTCAACTTTTGATTCGTTCTACTCACATGGCCAGATGGTTGGAGTCGGGCTTTGCTTGCAGACCCGGTGGATCAATCTGCTTGGTTTTTCTCCAACCTGATTCCCCCGTGGCCAATAGAACAAAACATGTAAGAGATTTGGTCGATTTGATTAATCAACTGTGTTTAATTTCTACTTTGAGCAATAATAGGTCACACTCCATAAAAAACTTTAGGTTGATTTTGGGACTTGTTTACCAATTAGAACCAACACAAAGAATTGGTTAATAAAAAAAAAAATAGATGATATTCAAAAGGCATTTGTATCCTTTTATGTCATTTAACGAAGTTTAGGATAGTAAATGAAATTTTCCTAAAAAATGAAAAAAGAAAAGGAATCCCGTCCGACAGACAAGTCCTGATCTGGGTCCCCACATCTCATGCATGGTGGGTCCCAGTTTTACGGTGAGACGAGGACATCCCAGCTCCCCGACAGGGCGATAGACAAACCAAAGGATAGTACCCAAGAGGGTTTTAGATCTGGAGCAGTGTTTGCGTTTGCATTTTCTTCAGCAGCAACCTCTCACCCTTCTCCTCCGGCAAAAAAGAAATTGAAAAAATGGAAAAATTGTTCTGATCCAAGCCTTATGTTCATATTATACTTCGAAACAAATTAAAAGGGTGACAGCAATCAAGTCTGAGGTTGTGGCTAACGTTTTTCAGCCATTAATTGCTTACTACTATCAAAAACTCCTTCCAAAGGATATATGATATATCACTGAGGCCCTAACCTCGCAAACCATAGCCATGGAAGAACGGAAGATATTCCCAGGAAATTAAGAAAAAAAGAAATAGCAAAGTCTTTTGGGAGACCATCATACATCGATCATCACCACTGCTCAAGATTCAAGAATGAGAGAGAGAAAGAGAGAGGTTGACTACGTACCTGAATGGGCAAAGCGTCCATATCTGCCCTGAGAGCAACAAATGGAGGGCAGCCGGAGCCTATGGTAGCTACCACACCCGTCTTTGCGACAGGCCATCGATACTCGACACCGATTCGATGGAGCTCGCGCCTAATGAGCTTGCTCGTCTCGAATTCTTCGTAAGCCAGTTCTGGCTGCTCATGAATCTTTCTTCTAATATTCTTGAGCCAATTCACAGTCTCCGGAGCATTAGCCAACCTAATTATCTCATCTCTAATCGAATAGTTTCCAATTCCATCCCTTCCGAGAGAATAATAATCCAACCCTTGTTGTTCCACCGAACGTTGCAGTTGCAGGCTCGAAAAAGCGGCAACGACGATGAATACCAGAAAAGAGAGGAGTCGCAACAGATCCATGGATCACTTCTGTCGATCGGTTTCAGGCAGAGAAGATGAGTTGATATTTATACATACATATATAACTGGATGTAAATAATTGCAGGCTTGCAGCCACACCTTCATCACGTCAGTCCTGCGCAGTGCCCACTCTATTAAGTATTAACTACACCCCACACCCAAAATGGACTTGCCCATACAAAATTATTTAATTTTATTTTTATATCCTTTTCTGGTAATACATTCAAAAATATTTATAAAAAGAGCGGTAGCTTTTTCTACACATTTAGCAGATGTCTTCGCCTTTTTATTTCTGTACAATTAATTATTAACGTGACTCTCGTGATTCGTGAATAGTGTGTGAGCTCTTCAGAAGCAGATGAGATGACGAAAGCAACTACGATCTTCACTTTATCCTATTATCCTATCTCTTCTGAGTTCCAAGAGAATTATTAGGCCGTGCCGAAGCTCCTGAGTATCGAATGTTTACGATTTACCGATCCAACGGTTGAAGTTCTTCGCTTAGTTTATCCAGTTACTAGCAGGAGATCGAATTTAGTCCGTACAATTACAAGACCGTTCCCACTGCCACTTGCAACCGTCTTGGGATCTGCTCCTCACGGACCGTGCCTCACACTGATCTAACAGTTACATCCCACCCATTATTAGGAATATCTTTATATCTCCATGAATAATAAATACAAATTACAGGAGATGTTCTCCATATATATAGTGTCGGAACATGCTGTAAAATTGGTGTGATATACGACTCTTTGAGAGCAGATTCAGACTCGTCTGCAAATGGCTGTGAGGACGGTGTAAGTATGGTATATACTGTGATGTGTTTGTGAAAGTGGCAGCAATTGAATCTAGGCAAGGTTTAAAATATTGATAGAAGCTAATACGGCTCAATTGGGGCATATCGGCCTATGTTGAGTTTTACTTTTATTTTCTTTTAGATTCTTTTTTCAAACTGGTCTAGAGGAGTCGTTTTAAGGCCCATCTATTCCTTAAACCAGGTCAGACCTTAAAACACCCACTATGAGGCCACTCATACGATATGTATTGATAGATACGACCTGATATGTATTGATATTTTGAACCTTAAACCTAGGTAGAGACACGGGCAAACAATGGAGGATTTCACTATTCATGTAAGTCAGCAAGTGAAATCCACTCTTTTTTTATATTTCTTACCATTTTAGGCTGTAATTCTGTTGTGTTGGGTTCTAACCCATTTTCTCCCAGACCTGTGTTTGTGAAAGTGGTAAACACGCCTAGCCAATGACGGCCTCTTAGGTGGTGATTTCTGAGCTCTTTTTACTTATTTTTCCTTTTTATACACATATACATGATCAATTATACTAACAATATGAAAAATGTTAGAATCCAATTTATGCAAGTAGAAATATTCATAAATTGGATTTTGCAAAGGTTAGAAATATAATATTCATAAAATAGTTTAATATAATAAGTGCACTTATTAATTTAGGATTATAATTGTTATTTCAGCAAAAAATGTACTTATTGGTTAAATGGTTCATCAAAACTATATCTCAAATAAGTACTGGTTTGGAAAAGGTCCCCCAAATACTTACAATTACTTATTTATAAGTATTATTTACTTTACATACCCTAAAGTTGTCCCTAAGGCTGTATTTTGTTGCAATGCACATAAATTTGCACTGATGCAAAATCATGCCAATGCAAATGATTTGAGTGTAAATTCTGACATATTTTTATTTCAAAATTTAGATTATTTTGTTCGATTACAGTAGGGGTGAATAAGAAAAACTGAAAAACTGAAAAATCGACTGAAATCGAACTGAAAATTCAATTAATCGATTGGTCGGTTCGGTATTTTAAAAAAATCGAAGGTATTGAGTTGGTTTCGGTTAACTAGAATAGAAAACTGTCGGTTAGCTAAACCGACTAGTATACATATATTTATATATATTTTACGTATATTTATGTATATTATATTTTTTATACATTATAAATTAATAAATATGCATTGTATAAATATATATTTATAATGTATAATATATTGTTTATTATTTAAATATAATATTATATATATTTCTAGTTTTTTATTATATATTTATATATTTTTTATAATATATATTGTAAATAATAAAAAACTGATGAACCGAACCGACTATTGATTGAACCGATGAACTGGTTTATCGATTGGCTTCAGTTCAATTTCGATTACCAGTTTTCCAAAAACCGGTAACCCAATTTGATTTCAAAAATAAGCTTGCGGTTTGGTCACCCCTAGATTGAAACACAAATAAAATAAAATAAGACATAAAGCAGAATTTGCATTTTTTTTTTTCATTTGCACTCCCGTGCATTTATGCATTTGTGCAAATACAAATAAAATTGTACTGCAACCAAATGCAGTCTAGCAAAACTGGTGGCGGGATTGAAGAAAGATGTATTATCGATCCACGTAGAAGCTTAAATGGATGGCAGGTGTCGTTGACGTATAATCCTCTTGATCATAAGAGTCAATTGGAAGGAGTACAAAGGTAAAACTATATAATTTATATTATTTTGTATTTGTATTTATAATGTATATATATTTATATTTGTATTTATACTCTTTCCAAACTGAGCGGTTGTTGTCAAATGCAATGCTACTTGGTCTTCGATTGTCCAGGTCATGCACATGGCATGTTTTTTCGGGTTTGGACCTACATGACACTAGTTGTAGTTATAGAGGCATTAAATGAATGGATAAGACACGTGTGGGAAAGTCCTAGAAGCCTGCTTTGACACATGTAGCTAGCCCATGTAGGTCGCCGACCCGTTCTCCAATAAGAAGCCAATCAAGCCATATCGATTTTAAAAGCTTTCAACTTAGCAAGAATACTGGATTTTGACTAGGTGATTGTAGAATGTGATAACAAAATTCGGGAATGATCCCAGAAGAGATTCAAAACCAGCCTCTAAGTCATTGGGTGCTTAACAAGTTAATAATCCTTTCCACAGATGAGAAAATTACTTGCGTTGCAGGGTTCTTTATTCCTTTCTTATTAATATGGGATATGAGAAACGTGCGTAACATGATTTTGAGCCGGCCTGGCCCGATTGTCCATGGGCCGTGCCCCAGCCCAGCATGATTATATGGGCTGATGGGTCATGCCGGGTTTGGGGTTTCAGGTCTGCGGGATGGGCCAACATGGCCCGTATTATTGTGTTATGCCACCCGTGGCTTGCGGGCTAGCATAGGCTGGCCTATATATATATATAATATTTATATATTATACATTATATAAATTATAATTATATAATAATATATAGTATATAATATGTTAATAAAATAAATATTTTTTTTCAATTTTATTTAATTATTGTATATATTTTATAAAATTAAAATTTTAACTTTTTCTTCAATTTTTAAATAAATAACTTTGGCCCAGCCTGGCCCATGGACCAGCCCGGCCTGACATGAGCCCATGCAAACTCAGGCCGTGGGTCGTGCCAGGTCAATCCCCCAAAATATCCCAGGAGTGGGAGGCACGGCCTATGCCGGCCCAGCACGACCCATTTTATAGCAGATCAAACCTGTGGATTTCAATGTTCTATCCAACCAAAGACTATCCACCGATTCTATCTTCTAGGTGGATGGATCTTTCATCCCTGAAACAAGGGCTGTTGCTACAGGCTATATTATTCTTACAAAATATCTTTCTATTATGCATGTAGCTAATAAAAGGAAAGGCTGTATCACTAAATATCAAATCTCTTTATGTGTTTTATGATTCTCAATCCATTGTATATGTCATTACAAAACTCTACTATGGGAGAATGGTGGGTCAAAGCTCTCAAGAGAAGGTTTTAAGCTTGATGAAGGTTTTTGATATTGATGTAGCGCGATCTGGTGCTCTTTGTTGGAGGACAGTTCAGACGTCAGGCTAGCGAGATCGCCTAATCGAGTTGCAAGACAAGTTCGTCAGAGTGTCCAGGGTGTTTCACCTAATGTGGGCACTCCGATGCTTAAGTTAGTGATTTGGAGATTTGAGAGAACTGAAAGCTTAGATTGCAAGAGAATTAGAGAGCTTAATCGTGCGTACCTTGTGAGACTGGAGGCAAGGCCTTTATATAGGCGAGCTATCGTAGCCCTCACGATTCCAAGATCGTTGGCTCGTCTGGTCCAAAGTTGGTTTCGTTCCCGAAGATAGACTCCGTATAAGTTGATAAGGCTTATCAAAGCCCATCCAAATCGGGCGGGGAGAAGATAAACTCCGTTGACATAGTGTCAAGGATCCCGAGGAGATCGAAGACAACTGGCTTGCTTCTAGATGAATGTTACATGGCACCTCAGCAGGTCAGTGCCTATAGTTGAGCTACTCGAGCCTCGGTCTAGCTGAGTGACCCGAGGTACATGAGGTGATTGGGATCGTTGAGGTGCCCTAGGTTGCTGAGGTGTCACCAAATCATTCCATCACTCCACATGTCATCACATCATTTAACGTGCCAAATTATCCCTCATCAGATACTATTGTAATTGAACATATTAATAGATCTATGAATACTACTGCCCATACTCTAGGATATAACGCCTCTAAATACAATGTTCTAGTTTGTGACGAGGGCAATATGAACCTAGGTTGTAATGTTTTTTTTAGGGTAAAATAGAAAAATCTCCCCTGAAGTTTTTGACAATCATAAAAATTTCCCCTATAGTTTTACTTTGATAAAAACCTCCCTTGAATTTTTAAAATATTCAACAAAAACCTCCCTTCCGTTAACCGAAACAAAAAAAATTAAATTGATGCATTTTTGTCAAAATACCCGTTTTACCCTTTCATGAAATCAATGCCCTCGGATACTGAAATAAAATACCCGTTACTACAGAAGACTTTCTGGTTGAAAGCTGCTCTTGCTTTGCATCTCTCTGCAACTTTAGCCAAGACTTAAGAGAGCGAGCGCTCAACAACATTTTCCCTGTGATATCTCTCTTCAGCTTCATCTTTAGTGCCATTATGCCGTTGGCATGACTTCTTGGAGACTTTCCTGTCACCACCGCCAACAATAGAGGAGCTTTCGAAAGGACCTTAATTTGTAGAGATTAGCCATAGAATGAACCCGAGTGAAGTTCTTTGATTTGTAACTATTATATCAGAATGATGTGTGAATGCTTCAATTTTCATATGGTTTGA